CCCCCCCCCCCCCCCCCCCCACAGGGAGCTGGCAGGGGGAGCACAGCTCAGGGACTGGATGTCCATTACCTCCAGGGCTCATTCTGCCAGACTGCTGATGCATCAGGAAGTTTCTTGGAAAAAGTCTAAAGACTTTCCCAGAGATGACAATAGGGAAGTCCTTTTTTTAATCTCAGGTGTCCGGTTACCGGCCTAACTGGAGACCGTATTGTATTTTGAATCTCTCACTAAAAGCTAGTGAGGTATGGACACTTATTTAGAACATTTTACAACAGACTCTCTAATCTAAAAAATAACTGGCTGCTTGTATTTGCTCTACATGGCTTTTATAATACAAATTGATAGTGATACTATAATAGTAATTTAATAACCGTCTAAACTATTTTTACGGGTCCATAACACGTGTTCCTCTCAGGAACAAACTCATGGGCTCCAGTTTAGACTGTAGCACAGCAGTTTAGAATCCCAGGATTATTGTTATTATCAGCTAATGTTGTCTGTTGGTGGATATCATGAATCTGCTTTATTCTTTATTTATCCATGACTGATAGCAGAGTCAGTAGGAAGGGGCTGGACGATCTTTTTGTTAAACAAATCAGAAATGTTCATATAGTAGTTCTACAGCTCTGCCTGCTAACCGGTTCTGCTGGTTACCATGACAACGCCGCTGACCAGCCAACACGGGGCATCTGATAGGCCCGGCTGTTAGCATGTCCTTATCGCGTTTGACTATCTGCATGGACTCCTACAGGAAGCTAGTGGGTTCCTGCTCCGCCAGCTGTGGGAGACATTGGGAGGCTGTGGGAGGCTGTGGGAGACTGTGTAGGACTCTGGGAGGCTGTGGGAGACTGTGGGAGGCTGTGGGAGACTGTGGGAGACTGTGGGAGGCTGTGGGAGACTGTGGGAGGCTGTGGGAGACTGTGGGAGGCTGTGGGAGACTGTGGAAGACTGTGGGAGGCTGTGTGGGACTCTGGGAGGCTGTGGGAGACTGTGGGAGGCTGTGGGTGTTAAGGTCTATGGCTATTCTGGCCCTTAGGGGCCGCTCTTGGACACCTGTCCGTCATGTGGTCCAGCTCATGACCAGGACAGAACCCACCCCGAAATTGGATGCATCCACCTCCACAATAAAGGGCTGAGACGGATCAGGGAGGACCAGCACGGGTGTTCGAAAGTTTGGAAAGCCTCCTCAGCCTCAGGTGTCCTGAGGACTAGTCTTCCTAGTGAGAGCAGAGATGGGAGCATCCACAGAGCTGAAGTTACAGATAAACGTACGGTAAAAGTTTGCTAAGCCCAGGACCTGCTGCGTTAAAGGCAGTCTTCCATTCATCGCCCTGCCTAATGCAAACTAGGTGGTAGGCCGGATGAATCCCGATGAGGAGTCGACCCCGAGGAGGAGATGTGCCAGGAAGTATGTTGATGGCACAATCATAATCTCTACGAGACGGAGAGAAGTAGCTCTTTTCTTGCTGAAGACCTCTTTCAAATCCCAGTACTCGGGGGGAGCCTGGGACAACCCGGTGGGATCCAGAGACTCGACAGGCAATACTGGAGGATTAGCAAAGTGGCAAGTAGCATGGCATGTAGATCCCCATTCAAGGATACGACCAGTTACCCAATCAATGTGGGGGTTATGACGGGTAAGCCAAGGAATGCCAAGGACCACAGGAAACTCGGAGAAGTGCAACAAGACATCTTCTCTGTGGGCTTCAAACTGGAGACAAATGGGAGAGGTAGTTTGAGTGACCTGGCCGTTCCCTAGGGGCTGGCCATCCAGAGCAGCCACAGAAAGAGGCAGCTTGAGGGGAACAACTGGAACCTTGAGTTGGAGCGCAAAGTTAGTGTCCACCAGGGCTTGGCAGGCTTGACTACCATCACCCCACGAGATAGTGACAGGGAGAAAAACTCCTTGGCTAGGGAACTCAGGAGACAAAGTAGCTCCCATTACAGCCCTCCCTCGGGGACAAGACGGGACTTGTTCGAGATGGGACAAGAGTCTCGAAAGTGACCCTTTCTACCGCACTATATGCAGCACCTCTCTCTTCCTTCTCAGCTGTGGACAGACGGGCTCGGTGGGCTCAGTAATCGGCAGTGTGGATTGCCATGGAGTACCAGGAGCATCAGGTGTCTGTTGGACCCCATCACAGTGACGTTCCCTGAGCCGGTTATCCAGACGTATGGGGTGCGTGATCAGGGACTCTAGGTCAGAGGGCACCCCATGAAGCTAGTCCATCTTTGGTGGAAGGCAGACACCAGGGCTGGCTCGTTCCACTCACTTACAGCAGCCGTTGTTCGGAAGGTGATGGCATAATCTGTTGCACTGGTCGTGCTGGATGGATGTTAGCTTCTTGGCGGCGCCAGCACTAGCAGCAGCCTGGTCAAAGACGCAAGACAAAGACACAGTGCAAACAAACAAAACCCAGAGCTTAGAAGAATAGCCATAGCCCTTAACAGTGGGAGACTGTGTGTTGGGGGTTCCTGTAACTGGAGAGTAAAGCCTCCATTTTCCTTCTTTTGGGTGATTGCCTCTCAGGTAGAGTTACACAGATGTGTGAACGCAGGTTTTATCTAGACATCTCCCCATACTTGCCTGCCTCTTCTCATACACACGCACACACGGATCACGTTTCCTTTGATGCCGTATGTATCCGCGAATGACAAAGAGCAGCTGACCACATGTTACAACACCCCACCGGAGCAGAGCTGCCAGCTGTCGGGCCGAGTATCCTGTTTCCATCTGTAGTTCTGAGCTGTGGTCAAACCTCACTGCAAAGCTAATAATGCTGTCTCACATGACTTCTTCAGGTCTGAGAGTACTAACCCCTCCTGCCCTGCTGTCTGTCTGGACCTCCAGGCTCGTCGGCCTCCCTTTAGGGAAGTCTTTAGGGGTCAAGGATCGGATCCGGATCCCAGCCGCGTCCATTCCAAAGCTGGAAGCATTCTACAAGCAGAACAGCCGACAACCATCAGAAGTATGTAATGTTTGTCCTCCCAGTTCAAATCCAGCAGAACCTCTACCTATGATATCTAAACGGACGAATTGTCCAACATCTGAAGTGAAATTGGATCAAATATTCGACTCGATACCCAAAGTAAAGTTCCGACATAAAAAAATGAAATATGAAAATGAAATAAAAATAACTAAGCTAAGTTAGTTTAGAGTTAAGGTAGTAAAGTTACGGTACGTCCTGTATCTCAGTCTCTACCTGCCAATAAAAACCCTTTCTATATATTATTTCTTTATCATTTATTTCTTTTTCCATCTCTCCTCTATTAGTCATTTGTTTTCTTGCTATGTGTAATTATCTGCAGTATTTATTAGGGAGTTATTGTAGGTTTTTGGAACCAATTCTATGAATTGGTATTCTGATTGAAGATTTGAACCAACACACCAATATTTAACATACAAAGTAGGTCCTGGAGTTGGATATCCAGCCGAGGTTCCTACAGGCTGCAGACAGAGGCTGCTCGCTTACTGGGCACTGTTCCCTGATCGGTCACTCTGTCCACGGCCAGCTGCCCAGAGTTATTTGCAAACTCCATTTCCCTGTGGGGAGATGAGGCCTGTGGTTCTGCTGTGTAAATCTCAGGCCACCAACACGGTTCACACAGGAGCCTGGACTGTTCCTATTCCCCTCAGTAAGCATCCCATGATGTCAGTGGAGGCAGCAGAGGGAGAGGCCCCGCCCTCAGCCAGTGGAGGCAGATAAAAAAAGGAAAGGGAGGATGTTTTTGCTTCTACTCAGAATAACAAACTCAGCCTTGTAATTAACCCTTTAAAGCCTGATCCAAGAAAATAGGAAGAATATTGGATTTGTTTAGTCTGAAGTCTTTCTTTGGCCCCTCAACAACATATGAAGAAAAAAAAACAGAAATTATTTTGATCAAATTAGCGTTTAATAAGTCAAAAATGTATGTTGGTGTAGTCTTCTACTGGCTGTTATCAGGTATATCTGAATGTGTACAACAGGGGTTTGAGCAAAGCTTTTACCACTGAATGATGCAGAAAGTCTCAGATCCAAAAGACTTCAGAAACCGGATCAGACCGTATGACACATATGGCATTAAGTTTTAGCTAGTGAGCAAGGTGTTTCAGAAAGGGTTAGTCATGCCGCTCTTTTGCTCTTCGTTGTGTGTGTGTGTGTGTGTGTGTGTGTGTGTGTGTATGTGTGTGTGTGTGTGTGTGCAGGCGGAGGTGGGGATCTTGGGGAAGCAGTGTGGGCTCTCCCACAGAAAGATCCAGACCTGGTTCAGACACAGGAGGAACCAGGACCGGCCCAGCAACACCAGGAAGTTCTGCGAGGCGAGGTGAGCTCCCCCCTGTTTGAGTTTGTGAAGTGGGGCTGACCTTTGCCCCCAGTGACCCCCTGTGACCCCCGGCTGATGATCAGTACTGGGCTGACACTGGAAGTAGAAGGAGAAAGGGATTGTTTTCCAGTCAAGATGTACATGAATAGTTTAATCAGAATCAGAAATACTTTAATCATTTATAATTACTCAATATTTTTTGTTACCAACTCTAGATACACAACAGCATATACATATCTACTGATAGTGTGCAGAAGAATGAATGAGTGCCTAAGTAGTTTAGTCAGAGTTCCAGAGGGGGGGGGTCTGTCTATAAGTCTGTTTTTTCCTCTTACTGGACATTTGCCTCGTTGCCATAGACCCCTAACAGATGCTGATGTGTGTTGTGTGTGTTGTGTGTGTGTTTAGCTGGCGGTTTGCCTTCTACCTCACAGCCTTCACAGCAGGGCTGGGCTCTCTGGTTAACGTAAGTGTGTTCACTGACATACTGACTCTACTTAAACCATCCAGTCTACACCATGTTTGTGTGAATAACCCTTTATTTAAGTCTGGTCTCCTTACATGAGCTGCAGAGTGATTAGAAAGTGTCACTAGTGTCCATGGATCAGGATTCTTTTTATGAAATGCTTCTTTCAGACTCCGTGGTTCTGGGATCAGAGAGAGTGCTGGAGGGACTATCCCAGACAGGTGAGCTGGAGATGGCTTGGTTTAAACTACTAAAAATACTACTAAACAAAGTCCAAGCTTGTAGTCTATCATCTGGACAATAACAGATAATTATCTGTTCTGCGACTCATTTAATCCCCCATTAAGACTCAGTAATAAACAGAGGTTTTCAGAGAGGATTCAGCTTGAAAATGAACATTTCTCTTTAATCCAGTCCTCTGCTATCAACCCTTGACATTTCCTTTTAGCATCTCCCTTCCTTTGTATTTTTTGTGTACAATTTTCCTCCTCCTTTAGCTCATCAGATTAGAAATTATTTAGCAACCTCTAGAACAGCTTATTGGGTAACCATGGTAACCGCACAGAAAACAGGGCAGCACATCGTGGCTTTTTTTAGCTTTTGTCCATTTCTCTGGTTTTCATTTGCCATTCTTCAGTTTGTGACCTGGAAATTGACCTGGTAGGATGTCACAGCTCCTAAAAACCTCCAGAGGAGAAGGAGCTCTAAGAAAGAAGCTCAGGTTTTCTGTGTGAACCAACCATAGATGCATTCATTGACATGCTAATTAGAGCAAGCAAGCTAAAGAGATTTGACTGACACGGTTGACTGACATCTGTTAAATTCCAGTGATCCACTTAGACTCTGATGATGCAGCGTATGGTGTTTTAAAAATCCCACTTTCGGCCCACTAAACCCGCCATTGCTGTTCTCAGCTCATATTTCTTTCTGGAATGTTAAAAAAGAATGTGATAAAAATGAGAAAGGGCCTGCCGTGGATCTGGGTGCAGGTCCTTTTCTGGTGAGGGAGGATGTGTGTGGAGGGCTAAACTTCCTGACATTGTGTTGTCTGTCCTGGAAGTGTTCTCATCTGAGATGGGGCAGCTTCCTCTGAGCTCCACACACCCTCTGGCTCAGAGGACGACGGCAGCCATTCAAGTCAATTCAATCTTATTTCTTTAACGCCACATCCCAACAACAACAGTTATCTCCCAGGGGGGCAGGAGACTCCCACCACAGATCCAGACCCCCCAGCTCCAGGAACACCTGCAGGAGGTGATGGAGGAGAGAGGAGAGGGGGGAGAAGCACAGGACTACGGGGAACGGGGGAGTCCAGTTAATAACATCATTAATGGGATGAGGCTCCACTGGGAGGGAGAGAGAGAAAGGAGGGGGGGGGCTCTGGAGTCCTGTTAACCTGTGCTCCAAGCAGGAGTGTGAGCATGGTTGTCCTCTGGGTTATGAGCTATTCCAGCTTCGTTTCAATACTTTCCTCACATACAAAGAATCTTGGCAGTGTGCTTAAAGGGGTCTTTCTGGGGTCCCATTACTTCCAACCCTGACCCTCAACTATCCAGATCTTCCTGAGTGAAAGCTGGAGGTCCGAGTCTGAGTGGAGTGTCTGATGCTAACTCTGGAGCAGCTTTGGGTTTAGCAACACAGCAGCATCCCTGACCGTACGTCCAGGCTCTGCTGGCTGGAAGTGCCTCCTTAAACGTCTGTCTGAAGGCTCCTGTTCCCCCCCCGGCCCTTCACACTGGACTCAGCCTCTCCTCCTCTCCCTGTGCAGCCGGTAGCCGAGGCCCACCGCTGGTACTACATCCTGGAGCTGAGCTTCTACCTGTCCCTGCTGCTCTGTGTCTCTGTGGATGTCAAACGGAAGGTAAGCAGGAGCTTTTGCCACGCAAGCTGAACTTTGAACACATTACTGACAGGATTATCTGCCATTACATCATAACTTTGGCTTTGCCTAATTTGGCTGCAGAGTTTAGAGTCTGAGTAGAGATTACTTGATATTGTAAATTGTACTGAAATGAAAGCAGAATATGTGGGCCTTTCTGAGAAATGTGTTCAATTTAGGAGTATTTACTGATATGCATGTGTCAGCTGGGATAAGCTCCACCCCCCCTCCACCCTTTTTTGGAATAAACTGTACAGAAAATGGATGGAAAATGTCCCACATTGCTCTCTGCTGTGTCAGCTAAAGGTTTTTTTAGTGGATACAAATATATTCAAAGTAGTTTTGTGTTCCTTTAAACTCTCTGCCTTGCCTGAACTTGGATGAGCAGCGCATTGATCTCAGCTCCTGCCTTTTCTGCCCATGTGTTCCAGGACTTCAAGGAGCAGGTGGTGCATCACATTGCCACCATCTTCCTGATTGGCTTCTCCTACTGCACCAATTTTGTGAGAGTCGGCACAGTTGTGATGCTGCTGCACGATTCCTCTGACTTCCTCCTCGAGGTAAAGCTCCAAGTCTGGACTCAAACGTCACTTCACGCATAGTTTTCACACATCTAACTGTTTTACTACTGAAACGCTTCATTTAGAGAGACTGGATGTTGCCCCTGTTTGGGCAGACCTCCACAAATAACAGCCCCACATTAGGAATGAGCACAGCACAGAAAAGCCTTTGGCTGAGAGGACAGATCATCCTGAAGTCACCCTGTCTGTGAAAGGTTCACCGGCTAGTCTCAGTCTTCAGTTCATGGCCTCCTGGAGCTGATTTTTCTGGGTCTCACGTGTCCCTGATAGCATCAGGTAATCAAAGCTGTCATCAGCTCTCAAACCAGGAAGCAGAGCAGGTGGCGTGAGGCCACGAGGGCTCTGTGCTGTTTCCAGAGATTAGCTGATTCTATCTGTAGGTGGGGCCTCATGTAATGGTTTTCTATCACTGTAATGAACCTGAACGGTTTCCATTTTCTGGTTGGAGGCTCAGATGTGAATAGTTTAGTGGCTGTTGTACAACTTAAGGCAGAACAGGAAGTGAGTCTCATGTCATCATGGTAATATCGCCCTTCCCTGAGTTCACACTTACACAGCTATTCTCAGTGACTAATCAAGCCTGCATTTCTGGATCCCAGTGAAGCTCCTCTGGTGCAGCATAAGCATAGGAAAAGCTGAGGACCAGGGCTCTCCAACACTGGGGCACATTGGTGACATCATAATCGGAAACATGATCAGAAACAAGCACTATTTTTCATGTAAGTCAGGTCTTGTGTTATTTGACCTGGATCAGCCATGTTACGTTAAAAGAATAAAAAGGAAGTCTTTGTAGCTTCATTCAAGTTATAGTTACTTTTCTGATTAATCATAAACTTTCCTTATTAAACTACTAGGAAACCATGTTATTTAGCCAAAAATAGGACCCCAACTCAAGCCATAAACACTGTCCGCTTACATTTGAAGCTTCAGAAATTCAGAAGTTATTATGTACCCAGAGGATTTTGGTTTCTTTACACTAATAATCTCTTTTATCTAAACTGTTTTGCGTGGACTCAGTGTAACACCACATGGAACTCTTGTGTTTTAAGCTGAGAATTGCTTCAATCTTTTTCGTTTTTCCGTCCAGTCTGCGAAGATGTTCCACTACGCGGAGTGGACGCGGACCTGCGACTCCCTGTTCATCGTCTTCGCTCTGGTCTTCCTGCTCACCAGACTGGTGGTGTTTCCCTGCAAGTAGGTCTGCTGCTGTCTCCTGGAGGGTTTGGAGCAGCCTCTGTCTGCAGCCTGTAGGAGCCTCGGCTGGATATCCAGCTCCTCCCACATCCAAGGCGGCCATTTTGATTAGGTCATGTGACTAGCACCTTCCTCAGGTGGAAAAAAAACGTTATTGTCTATACGAAATGGGAAGATAAACCATGTCCTAACCCTAACCCTGACCCTAACCCTAACCCTAAATCCTTACCCTAACCTTAACCCACCCTGACTCTAAACCTAAACCTAACCCTAACCCTAACCCTCCACCCTTCATAATATTTTTTGGCTAAACTTGTTTGGACTTATTGTACAAACCTATTTAACATCCACTATTTGAACATAATATTATGGATAGAGTTTAATTCAGTGTTTGCAAGATTCTATTTTTAAATTAATGTCTATATTGCCATGAAAAATTACCATTTTCTCTCCTGGGATGTTCCTGTTGGTGACCTAATCAAAATGGCCGACCTGGATGTGGGCGGGGTTGGACATCCATCCCCGGCTTCCTGCATCTGCAGCCAGACGTCCGTGGGGCTTTGTCAGAACGGAGGACATTACAGACGGGTTCCAGTGACTGTACCTCTTTTCTAGGGTGGTCCACTCGACCCTGACAGTATCGCTGGAGTTCTTCCAGCCTTTCTTCGGGTATTACTTCTTCAACACTCTGCTGTTAGTGCTCCAGGCACTGCACGTCTTCTGGGCTTACCTCATCCTGCGCATGGTCTACAAGTTCCTCTTCCTGGGAAAGGTGAGTGGGCAGGTGGGCTGGGCGGGGTCAGAGGTCCCACTGAGCCGTGTGCTCTGCCCCCAGGTGGAGCGGGACGAGCGCAGTGATGAGGAGAGCGAGGTGGACGACAACGAAGAGGAAGAGGAGCCTGAGGAAGAGGAGGGTCAGTGCAGCTGGGAGCACAGGAAGGGAGCCATCAACTCCAAGCTAGCATCCCTGGCTAACAACTGTGTGTTGAACAACCTGACCAACCAGAGGAGCCTAAACAGCAGGATGCCTAAAGCCAGGTAGTGGAGCAGCCCCCCCCCCCCGGACCAAAGCAAAACAGGAAAACAGGAACACAGCTGCACCCATGTGCTCCGGACAGCCATTTCTGCCACGTAACTCCTCCATAACGGTTCGGATTCAAAGAGGACTTCACACCGACTGGATCCTGCATTTCTTCAAAACCTAACAGGGCATACAAGCACAAGTGATTGTAGGTTTTCAAAAGGAGATAGTTCTACTGTAGTTTAGGAAGGTTAGTATTCTGTGTTGCTTGTTGTCATGGTGATGCAGCAGGTTTTCTTGTAAGTAACTAACAAGAGAATTAGTTTGATCCTTTTTCCAGACTTTATTTTTCTGTTGGACAACCCACATTTATTATTCTCTGATATTTCAAACAGATCAAACTTGGGGCTACAGGTTCGGTCATTCACTCCCACAGCTTTTTTCCCTTCATTGTACATAGATTATTTAAAAACACTGATGATTTCCCCCTTTTTAGATTATTTTATGAACGTTTAACTTAAGAGGCTGTTGGATTTTGTGATGTGTGTCTGGGTTCAAAGGGTCTCTGCTGAAGCCTCAGAGGAAACACAGGATTTTTAGGGTTCCATTCAGCCCAATGTGTCAGAGACATGGCGCCACCTAGAGGGCAAAGGAGATCTTTACTTTGGAGTAAAGATCTTTACCTTGGAGGACAATTGACATCCCACAGGATGACAGCGTCATCTACCACCCTCTTATGACTTTGAACCTTTTTTGTGTTTTTTTCCTGCTTGTTAGACAACTGTGACAGGCAGCATGGTTTTCCCAAGAAGCTCTTTCTCACAGAGGGTTCTGTTTTCTGTTGTGCCTTGGGCGGCTGTTTTTACTCTATTTTAAAGTCTGTGTGTCCGTGTGTTACTTTTGATGAGGCTGAGGCGGCTTCCTGGACGCACAGTAAAGATGAAGACATGCCTGTGTGCATTTAATAACCAGAGAATCTGTGATTTTGGTTTTTGTAGATGGCATATTTTGGTATGACAAGACTGGCTTTGTATAATTTGCTGGGAATACAAGACTTGTATTAACCTTGTACACTTAAGCAAAGTGAAAAACAAAAGACAGAGTCTATCCGCCACGTACAAGAATTTTTACTTCATGTTTTGTGTGTGTGTGTGTGTGTGTGTGTGTATAACCTCAGATGCAAAGGGCTTGTTTACTAAATGACACATTTTCACAACCATACAACCATTTGTTTGTTTGTTTTATAGATATTAAAGCAAGTGAAAGCTCCACTCGCCTGTTCCTCGCTGATCACATTTGGGTGTCTTGTCTACTGTGTGGCCGGTTGAAAGGTTTAAATAAAATACCCACAGACACTTGATAATGTGTTCACTCCATTTTTTTCAAAGACAGCTTCTCTTCTTTGAATTTCACAGACATGAAGGGCTCTTTTTGTTGCACCTCTTAACCATGCAGACACAGGTCATGTGACCATTCTCATAGAGACACACCCCCTGAGGGGCACAGCACAGGGAATGGCGTCGTCTATCTCTAAACACGTGTCGATATAAGGGTCCAGCAGCACCATGTTTGGGAAGGCCTTGTTAATCCTTCTCTCACTGAGCAGATAGATCTGTCCACCCACTGTGGTGCACCCACAGAAGAACTTCCCGTCCAGACTCTCCTCCTCCAGCACGGTCCACTCATCCGTCTCCACGTCAAAGCGAAGGGCGTGGCCTCCAAACAGGTAGAGGGCGCCATTCAGCTCGGTGGCAACCAGGTCGTACCTGGGAGAAAGTTTAAAGGCTGCTTTATTTTTCTGCTCGGGCCCTTTTTTCTGAAACCGTTTCACAAAGTAACCCAACATGTTTCTGCATTTAGACGCTTTTATCCAAAGCGACTTACAAGGTAGACACAATCTTACAGTTATCATCAATATGACAACAAGTTCTCTAGAGGAAAACCCCCAGTCAGAGTCAGTGGTGGCAGAAAGAGAGAGAAGGAAGCCCAGAAAGAGGAGTAGAGGGTCCATGAGGTCTGGGAGGAGTTAGGATAGGAGCTGCTCTGTGGAGAGGGGGGTCTTTAAGAGTTGCCTAAAGATAGAAGTGTGGTTCTTGTAAGGCTTGGTAGGTCGTTCCACCATCTTGGAACAACACATGAAAACAGTCTGATTGTCTTAACGTGGAGCAGCTCTGCTAGAAGAATCCGTTGAGGACATAAAGCCAGAGGGACAAACCTGGGGAATATGACTCACCTTGGAAATGGCGAATAGGAGACCACATCCCACTGATCTTCCTCCACGACGTACCTCTGAACCCCAGCAAACACCTCCCCGTTCTCGTCCAGGCCACACGCCATGTAGATGCAGGTCCCCAGGACGGCGGCTGCCGCCCTCTCCACAGCCCACACCATGGGGCTCAGGGCCTCCCAGCCCTCCTCCGAGCCCACAACCAGCCTCTCCACCTCATCCACCAGGCCCTCGTCCACAGAGCCCCCCAGAACATACAGAGCTGAGTCCAGCCCCACGGAGCTGTGGCTGTGTCTGGACCGGTGGAGGGCCGGCCCGTCCACCCAGCGCCCGCTGCTGCATTCGTAGATCCTGACCCAGTCCACGCTGAACCACAGGACATCCCTGAAGTAGCCTCCTGTCACAACCACACTGTCCCCTAAACAGGGAGGAAATAAATCAGAGACTTTGTCAGGATGTGAAGGACTATTATGATGGATGGTTAGTTTCCAGCCATTATCATAACCTCTCATCCCCTAATGGGGTTGGGGGGGACTGGAGCCAATCCCAGTAGCCAATGGGGAGAGGCGGGGTCACCCTGGACGGTCTCCAGTCCATCACAGGGACACACGGAGACACACAAGGACCAACAACCACACACACTCACACTAAGGGCAGTTTGGAGTCCAACCAACCTAACATGCAGGTTTTTGGACGGTGGGAGGAAGCCGGAGAACCCGGAGAGAACCCACAGACACAGGAGAACATGCAGACTCCACCCAGAAAGGTCCTGGTTCCCCCGGGACTCCAACCCAGAACCCTCTGGTCCTGGTTCCCCCGGGACTCCAACCCAGAACCCTCTGGTCCTGGTTAATTTCTATTAGACTTCATTATTAGCTTCCTTTATATCTCCCGCATTAACACATTCACCTCCGTACTCATTTCAGCTCTTGTGCTCATCACAACAACATTACCACACAGCATTACCTACTGCTGCTACTGAGTACTGAGTGAGGTTCTTCCTCTGGAGAGGGGCACACTTCTGCCACCTGCCACTCAGAGGGTGAAACTGATACAGAGGCTGCTGGTCCTGGTCGTGAGGCCCACCCAGGACGTAGAGGGTCTCTCTGGCCCTGCTCCGCTTCAGGGACCTGCCCACCGACCAGGTCTCTGGGAAATGTTCGTTCATCTTGCTAATGAGCTTGGCTTGAGGATCAGAGCACGCCATTCTGCTCAGGAGCTGAGTGATAAAGGGCAAGGACAGAGACTCGGGTCTCACCAGCTCCAGGAGCTCCAGGAAGTGTTCCTCCCGCTGGGGTTCAAACAGGACCCAGCGTAGGGCGGCCTCCAGGGCCAGGTCATCTCTATCGATAGCCAGCTCATCGCTGGCTAGCAGATGTGCTATCGTGTCCTTACAGATGGACAAGAAGTCCTCCTCGGCCGAGACTGCTGGGAAGTGTGTGAGCGCCACCTGGCGAGCGGCGGCGTGCAGCGTGGCCAGGCCCCGCCCCCAGGCGTAGGCCATCATCCCCAGGCAGTTGCTGGCGTGCAGCTCCCGCTCCAGGAACTTGCAGCACAGCAGCCGGGCGCGCTCCAGCTGCAGGAAGTCTACCGTCTCCAGGATCCCCAGGACGTTCTCCCGGTCCAGCGCCGGCCGGCGCCAGCGGCCCAGCTCCATCAGGACCCTGAAGGGCCGCCGCCCCACCCCTTTGATCTCCACCTGCCTTTTGGTGGTCTCAACCCCACAGCCAAAGAACAGAGCCCTGAAGTAAGGACTCTGGAGAGCCAGGTGCTGGCGGTTCACATAGAAGCTCTCTCCTTCCACCAGTAGGACTGCGTCCGGAGGGGGATCAGCTTCAGGTTCCTCCTCCTCCTGCTCCTCTTCCTCTTCCTCCTCCTCCTCTTCCTCCTCCTCCATTTTGTTCTCCAGTTCAGACTGAACTTGTAATCTGTAATCAGAGTCCGCCATGCAGGCCATGTCCCAGCAAACAGCCCCACCGAATGTCCCCTGCCCCACTTCTGGTTCACACCAGCTGAAGTTCAGCCTGAGTCTAATAATAGAACTCCAGCTAAACAAAGCCGGGCCAGAGGCCCGTCTGGACCTGAGGCCTGTTCAGTCCGTAGGACGCCGGAAACACTCCAAAGTAAAGAGCATCTGTATCCAAACATACACACTAAAGTTTGACCTATTTGAACACGCCATTTCAAGGGACAGACGTCAGCCCGGCGCTCAGTGATCTGATTGGCGGAGCGTCTGCGGGGTCACAGAACTACTTCCGTGTCACGCAGCTAACATGGCGGTGAGTCTGTGGTGTGTTAGCCTCCATTCAAACATCTTTTAGGCCTTTTTTCCCCGAAACACTGCCACGGATGTGGTGAGTGGGTAACGGTGTGCTCTGGGGATGACTCGGAGTGGAGAACATGTCTTTGAAAGCAATAAAAGGCGTTTTGGGTTATCTGTTGGCTTGGTCCGTAGGGCTAAGATAGCTTAGCTAACTAAGCTAGTCTCAGGCTAGGTTTGGTTCGTGAGCAGTACTCGTGCATGTGGTGAAACAACAACAACATATCCCACTCTGTTTGCAGGATAAAGAAAAGAAAAAGAAGGAGAGCATCTTCGACTTGTCCAAATACATCGACAAGCCTATCCGTGTGAAGTTTCAGGGAGGACGAGAGGGTAGGTGTCCGCGGCTGGGGGCTAACTGGGCCGGTTTCCATCAGAACCAGGCTGGAAAAGACTCACTGCTGTTTTCCCTCCTAGCCAGCGGGGTCCTGAAAGGGTTTGACCCGCTGCTGAACCTGGTACTGGACGGAACGATCGAGTATATGCGTGGTAAGTGGACATAAACAGACCTGAGAGCCCCGTTTGTTTGGGGCAGGTGTAGCCAGCTGGGGGAAACAGGCTGGTGGACATTTAAGTTAAAGTTTTTCCAAATACACTGTTAAGAAGCTAGGTTTTTTACACCAATCAACTTTAATGGGGGCTAAGATCTCTGTTTTTGTTAGAATAAAGTTATTTTAATGACTAAATGGACTATATCTGAACAAACTGCTATATTTCTACTTATTGGACCACTCAGTTGTAGTCAGGTTTACATTACTTGTTCCCACCTGTTCAATATGTCTAGATGATTTCTACCCATTTGAAATGAAAATGTTATTTGAAAGCCACAGCGACTCTCCGATCCCGGCCTATCAGAGCCTGTACTAAAGTCTAAAGTTATTTATCTACTTACTTAGTTGTCAGACTCATGTTGAACAGGGATTTACTCTGATAACAACTAGCCAGCTGAATTAGGGGAGTCTGAATAACACACACTGGTTGGTAAAGAGATACTGACCTGTTTATTCAGGGAGAAACACGAAATAGACCAAATTATAAGTAAACAAACGGGAATGGCATCAGTGAACAGTAAAAAGTGCAAATAATATTATAAACTTTATTAAAAAGGCAAAACACACTATTAACTCAGCATCAGAACTCTGTTTTACATCCAGCTCTTCCTCTTTTTGGTCCATAAGGATAAGATAATCCCACACAACTGACATTTTTACAGATAGCTTCACATTAACATGGCCGTCTGAGTGGTTAGCTGTGGGGCAGGAGATGCTAATGCTAATGCTTAAGGGTGTGCTGGAAAATGACAGGACCGGATATCAGGGAAGAAAACAGCAAAGTGGAATGGTTTATTTTAATTGGTGGCAGACTTAAAAAAAAAAAAAACTGGATCTGGAGTCTGGATCTGTGTTTTCTCCTGCCGGCCGATATGCATTTTTTTGCAAATATGGGCGGGCGATCGGATCCAGAAATGGGATCGGGGCCAGCCTGGCTGGGACTTGGCCCTATATAAATAGAATAAAACTGAATGAGTGTTTTCAGTGTGATGGCGTGACTCAGAGTGTGGGGGCGTGCCCCCCCCCCCCCCTTGCAGATCCAGACGACCAGCTGAAGCTGACGGAGGACACCCGGCAGCTGGGGCTGGTGGTCTGCAGGGGCACCTCTGTGGTGCTGATCTGTCCTCAGGACGGCATGGAGGCCATCCCCAACCCCTTCATCCAGCAGCAGGACGGCTGACCCCCAGGCCCCCCCGGCTGCCCGGCCCCCTCCTGAGTTTGTTTCTACCCTTTCAGTACAGCTGTGGCTCGGAGAAAAAAAGCTGCTGTCTTGAGTTAAGAATCAGTAAAATAATGTTCAAATGCACTTCCATTTTATTACTGTGTGGGGGGGGGCAAAGTCTGCAGATTTAAGTTGTAAAGAGCCTGTTTTTGGTAATTAACAGTACAATTTTCTTTTTATCTAAAAGCCAACTTTTTACTGTTTTTGTTTGTTTTATAAGAAATAAAGGGAAAACGTGGTGTGAGAAGCATGTGGAGTTTCTGTCTCTCTTCTGTGCCTTTACTCTGAGGATGTAGAGCAAAAAGCAAAGGTCAGGAGACCCGGAGCCCGTCTAGTTTGTTACACAGCGAGAGGGGAATCTGATTCCTCCAGAAGAGTCCAGAGGAGGAGTGGGTGTGTCTGTGTGGAGGATAAACTGCCAAAGCCCCTCAACACTCACACAGGGAGAAGTGGAGTTAACGGCTTTAGGTTGGAAGCACATCAGGGTGGGGACATTTAGGAGCTGCTTATCTTTGGACTTCTCTTTTTAGGGTGGAAAGAGAAGTTCTGAGTAGAAGTTTAAAGCCACAGTCATTTACATTTAGGTGGGGATGGATCAAAGCCACGTGAGAAACGGTAGGAAGAAACCCCAGATCAGAGGTGGCTGGACCATCCAGGCCAAGGAAAGCTGCCTGGGCTACCCGGGGGGTCCGGTCCTGGTGAGGGGCTGATGGCCCCCCAGCCCCTCCTCCTGCCCAGTCCCTGTGTCCACGGAGCCCATTAAAAAGCAGCACCAACACCGCACGAGACCCGAAATGTCAACGCCAATTAAAGGGGTTTCTGACGTCACGGCGCGATGATGACTTAAAGGATGTGTGATGTTTACCTGGAGGCTGCAGGAAAAACGCCTGTGCACACCGAGGTGTGACCAAAGGGATCAGCGCGGGTGGAAAGAGAGTCGGAGGGGGATTTCTGAGGCTAAAGTGAACTTTTAAAGCACACAGAAAGGGCGAGTTACCCACGGCCCGGACGCGGCACGCCCCTGAGGACTGGGAACAAAAAGAAGGACCCTTTGGCCCCCTCCAGTCGTCCTCCAGCCGTCCTCCAGCCGCGTTTCGGGAGCGCGCCGTGCACCGCCTCAGAGCGATGGAGGTAAGCAGGCCTGCGGAGAGAAATCCTCTGCTTTGTTCCTCTCGGCCCCCCCCGGCATTCCCCTGAGCATAACACTCTAGAAAAGTTTCTCCGGGACCTTTCCTCCTGGAGGGGCTGCAGAGCGTCATGGCCTCCTCGGTGTCTCTTACGCACAGCCCGGACTCCCGCAGCCTTAGTCTGGAGGTGCTTTAACTCTGATCCGGGGGATAAGTCACAGAGCTGAGGCTGATTCCCGCATCCACGTGTTTCTTCAACAACTCTTGACTTTTTCCAAACGGTGTGCATCTTAAACGACCTAAGTTATAGCTTTCATTCTTGTTAAGCATGTCTTTTCTTTTTCTTACACACCGCAACTCTCTTTTAGCACGACTCCATTATTTCACTACAGGAGGAGATCAGGATCAAATAACATTTCTACTATTTATTTACTAACTGAGACGCGAATATCCCTCCAGTGTTTTCATATCTTCTCCATGATCCGGTGAAAGTGACGGTGAAAGTTAGATTTGACATCAGCCTTTGGTCCAGTTGTGGTTCTGATGCTGTCCCCTGTAGGTGTGGATCCCTGTGTCTGTCAGGCGTTATGAGACTGGGGACCTCTGGATGTGAGCTGCCGCTTTGACTCTGTGCTGCTTTAAACATGGACGTGAAGAAGGATGGAGGAGGAGGAGGAGGGGGGTCGTCTGCCCCCCCCACCTGCCACAGGAGCATCCTCATAGTCTGCCTCCTCTTCTTTCTTATTATAGGAGTCTTTGTAGGCCTCGTTATTGGTGAGTCCGCACACACAAAAAAAAAGTATTCCCAATAAACGCCCATTTTCAAGCAAATAGCGCTTATTTTTTCATGAGTGGAACTTTTATGGAAGCCCCATTTTTAGCCTCCGTTACGCTCTTTTGCTCAGACGTTTGTCATTGGTGCTGTCTCCCCTGTGTGCAGCGTACCTGGTGCAGGAGCCTCATCATTTCATGGAGACGGTGGAGCTCAAAGGTCTGAAGTACAGCACGGCTCTCCAGGATGGGCGCTCTGCTTTCTCCATTATCCTGTCCTCAGTCTTAAAGAGCAAGGTGAGCGGTGACTGGCCAGGCTGTGCAAACACAGCATGACCCGGATAAACCCCTAAACATGTGTCTCCTGCTCAGATTAAGGACATCTTCAGAGCTTCTTCCATCTCTCATCACTACGACGGCTGCACCATCGTGGCCTTTGGGTGAGTGAGAGCAGCTAGAGCCCGTCTCTCCCAGGAAACCACCACAGACTGACCCAGCCCCTCTGTTCTTCCCAGTAACATCAACGGGGACGTGATGGTGACCTTCAGGCTGGTCTTCAGCGTCTCTAAAATCCAGCAGTATTCAGACAACTTTGTCCGAGACCTGCTGAGAGCCGGACTCAGCTCTGTGATGCACGGGAAACCTCTGGAGGTGCCGGGCTCTGGACAGGTCGACGCCATCTTCCTGCTAGGTAGCCTCACTTAGCTTCTTTGTGGCACAGCAGTGCAGCTTCCACCGTCTTCCAGGGAGCTAATGCCTCTGTCTCCGTCCAATAGGAGCCACTGGGAAGTCATTTTACGCTATTGGAGACGAGAAGATGGGTGAGTTAATGAGCCAAATGTTTGGTTTGGCTGTCTTATAGGGCCAGAAATGGATAAACTTTTCAGTATCCTCATGTTGTGTGTGGCTCTTCCTCCTCATCTGAAACACATCCACTCTCAGTCTCCCTTTTTTTAAACTTTGGAGATAAATTTAGGCTTGTCTAGATTTGTAAATTGAAACCTTTCATTCTTTTAAATTGTGTTTTTCCTCACTTTTTAGAATATTTTGCTCATAAATATTGTTGGGATTGATGATTCTGTCCTGTCCTGACCCTATCTACACCCTAACCCTGACCCTGACCCTGACCCTAACCCTAACCCTCCACCCTAACTATAACCCGAACCCTAACCATAACCATAACCCTAACCGTAACCCTGACCCTAACCCTCCAGCCAGGTGTCCAGACAGTGCTTTCACCTGTGACAACGGGGAATGTGTCACTAAGTCAAACCCAGAGTGCGACTTCACCCCAGACTGTGCAGACGAATCCGATGAGGCTCGGTGTGGTAAGTCCTCCATTACCGGTGTTTAGCCTACCGTCCATGGGGGTCAAACCCCACGACCATGGACGGACACATGGCTGTACCTGACCCGTGTGACGCCTCCCAGCCTGCGGCACGCGTCCGGCCATGGGGAGCCGGGTGGTGGGGGGGGAGGACGCCCGGCAGGGGGAGCTGCCCTGGCAGGTCAGCCTGAGGTTCCATGGCCAGCACACCTGTGGAGCCTCCATCATCAGCGAGCGCTGGCTGGTCAGCGCGGCCCACTGCTTTGAGAAGTACGTGAGCCGCTTTCCCCTCGTTCTGCCACTCAGAAGAGACGGTTCCACCTCCTGGAAGGGACTGATTGTGCCTTTTCTTGCATTAGAGAGAATGACCCCAGAGAGTGGACGGCCCTGGTCGGGGCCAGGCTGGTGAGCGGCCAGGAGGCGGAGTCCAGACTCCTGAAGATCAAGTCCATCATCGTGTCTCCGGACTACGACCACCTGACCACTGACAGCGACGTGACGGTGCTGGAGCTGGAGCAGCCGCTCACCTTCAGCTCCTACATCCAGCCCGTGTGCATGCCCTCCCCCGCCCACGTGTTCGCCGCCGGCCAGAGCTGCATGGTGTCCGGCTGGGGAGCCCTGCACCAGTTCAGTGGTGAGTTCCACTCGGAGCCAACGGGGGCTCCTGTACAGGCTGGGATAGGCCAGAGGGATTTAATAGACTCAAGTTTACTTCTTCAAAGTCTGCTTTACCAGAGTCTGATAAGTCAGAAATGGACAGCCAAGTTGTGGAGTGTCTCTCCTAGAGGAGAATGACTGGTTTTGGTCCAGTCTCCAGCTTTCCTACAGTCTCAGTCCTCTTTACTACAGATACCTTATAACCCAGAACAAATGGAAAAATGTACGTGCTTTAAATGGACTCTGAAACTGTGTTTCTTCTTTTAGAAAAAGGGGACATTTACAGTGTACTGAAGGCGTGTACCCCCTCAGTGAGGCGTTTCTCTTATGTTGATGGATCAGGAACCATAGACTTAGACTTAGACTTAGACAGTACTTTATTGATCCCTTGGGAAGACTCCCTCAGGAAATTAAGGTTACCAGCAGCTTAAAGGGCAAACAGTGTCAAGTTAGAATCAAATTAAGCAAAAATATACAAATAAATAAATAAAAATACAAAAAATACAGATTAAGTACAGTGTATGTGTATGTGATATCTCTTCCCCCTGTCCTGTGTCACCTCCTCGCCCCCAGTGAGGCGTTGTACAGTTTGATGGCGTGGGGGACAAAAGAGTTCTCTATAGTAGTGAGACCTTTGCTTTGTGCTCTTCAGTCGAGGTGCCCTCCGCCCTGCAGAAGGCCATAGTGAAAATCATCGACTCCAAAGAGTGCAACAGGTCATCTGTGTACAGAGGAGCTGTCACCCACAACATGATGTGTGCCGGGTTCCTGCAGGGCAAGGTGGACTCATGTCAGGTCAGAGCCTCTCAGCCCCGTCAGCTGCCCACTAGTATAGCCCCTATCTGTTCCCATCATCTCAGCGCTATGTTTCCATTATCCATTATCATAACCCCTCATCCCCTGATGGGGGATAAAGGCAGTTTGGAGTCCAACAACCTAACATGCAGGTTTTTGGACGGTGGGAGGAAGCCGGAGAACCCGGAGAGAACCCACAGACACAGGAGAACATGCAGACTCCACCCAGAAAGGTCCTGGTTCCCCCGGGACTCCAACCCAGAACCCTCTGGTCCTGGTTCCCCCGGGACTCCAACCCAGAACCCTCTGGTCCTGGTTCCCCTGGGGACTCCAACCCAGAACCCTCTGGTCCTGGTTCCCCCGGGATTCCAACCCAGAACCCTCTGGTCCTGGTTCCCCCGTGGACTCCAGCCCAGAACCCTCTGGTCGGGACTCCGACCCAGAACCCTCTGGCTGTGAGTCCATGGAGCTGAGCTCTTGTGTGTGTTTGCAGGGTGACTCCGGGGGGCCTCTGGTGTGTGAGGGGGCCCCGGGGAGGTTCTTCTTGGCTGGAGTGGTGAGCTGGGGCGTGGGCTGTGCCCAGATCAACAAACCTGGGGTCTACTCCCGGGTGACCAGGCTCCGGAACTGGATTTTGAAGCACACAGATCCCCGTCTGGTCCCTTATCATTCCCCGTACGGGGCCGGAGCAACACCTGGACCAAGCCCCGGGCCCTCGGCCCCCGCCGGGCCCCCGGCCCCCCCCGGGCCCCCGGCCCCTGCTGGACCCTCAGCCCCCCCTCTGCTCGGTAAAGAGCCCCGCCCCCCCACCCCTCTGGGGGTGGAGCTGAGTGGGGCTGAACTCTTTTGTCGGGGGTGTGTTCCAGCCTCAAACTGCAGCGGGAACTTCCAGTGCAGCTCCTCGCTGTGCATCAGCAAAGTCAACCCGGAGTGCGACCGCGTCCCGGACTGCCCCGGGGGGGCCGACGAGAGCAACTGTGGTGAGTGTGCGGGGGGGGGGAGGTGACCCGGCGGGGGGGCGGTCCTGACGGTGCTTGTTTGGCAGACTGCGGCGTGCGTCCGGCTCTGGGCGCCCAGAGGATCGTGGGGGGGGCCACGGCCCGGAGGGGGGAGTGGCCCTGGATCGGCAGCCTGCAGCAGCAGAGGCTGCACCGCTGCGGGGCCACGCTCATCCACAGCCGCTGGGCGCTGACCGCCGCCCACTGCCTCAGAGGGTAGGCCTCCCAGGGTCCAGCTCAGTCTGACTCTGTAAAACCAAACCCCGACAACAGGGATCTCTGTAGCAACACATCCCATAATAGGAATCTCCCACATC